ATAAATGATACTGAATTATCCAGCTACAAAGAGAGTTTCTGACTCAGAAATCTGCTTCTGCCACAAATCATTTCTGCTCCCACTGAAACCAAATTCAGACTTTGACTTCAGTGGGAGCGTAATTACATCCAAAAATATAGTTACCTAAATAGTCCTTCAGGCATTTCATTATTCCTTGCAGTTGAGCTCACTGGCCACCCTTATTCAGCTGAAAACTTTGAGCATATGGAGATGATAGATTATAAATTGTTCCTAAGATAATATTTGTAGTTTAAAGTATAGTCCAGTTGCTAGTAGCTGTATAAAAGTGGTGCCTGTGTTCTTCATCACTGTTAAGCGGAAATTCAAGCTGGAAGCTCTGTCTTTAAAATAATAAAAAGTAAAAATCTATGGACTCATACTGAGGAAGAACTATTTGGAACCTCTGTGAAATGTCTGATTATTTCTCATGCACTCAGTCCCGGCAGAATGAGGTTAACACATGTCAAAGCAAAGGCTAAGGAAATTTTGGGCTGCATTTCTGCCCCTAGATGGAGTATTCTGCACACTGGGTTGGGTTTTTTTATATATATTTTGGGAGAATGGAGCTGTGTTAGAGGCCTTGAAATGCCTCTTGTTCTGAATTCCCTTTACAGTGTATCAAGTGCTGCCCGCTGGGACTAGGCTAACTGGGTCCCAGAGATAGAAGAGAAAAATCAAAATAGGGTTTGCTTGTTCAGTTGATCAGATACTGTAAAGACCACTGCACTTTCTTAGTGTCTCCCATTTGTTGGTTAGCGATAGATATATGTGTTAAAAAGCAAGAAGCCTCTGCTTAACAAGGTGTCACTAATTACTATGAAACATCTGATATTTGCAGCTTGCAGTGCCGAGTATTTCCATGATTTTCGTGGTATTCCCTTCTCTTAGTATGCTGGGAATGCCATGGTAACCTTAACCACTGGTAAAACATTTTAATAGTGACCACTGTAATATAGTGGTTGTGTGCAAACAGCATGCACCATTGCTTCAGAGGTGTTTGGAACACTTTGTTTTTGTCACAATTGGAGTAAAATGTTGCCAGATTTCAAGAACTGAATCCTAAACTTGCCAAATGGGGAGCTGGAAGTGAGGTCTCCTGTTCTCCAGCTTCTGTCTTTGATCACCTCTGGAGTTTCATTGATACATTCCTACCCAGCACTCACACGCTTAGTGAACCATGGCTCCAGAAAGCAGGGAGTTGCTTGGGAAAAGCACTTGGCTACAGACCATGTGTTCGGAGGGGGTGGATGGGTGTCAGATTAGAAGCCAGCTTTTGAAAAACCGAGATTGTTTTGTATGTGTGAGAGAGAATTCAGCTGTAGGCTCTTAGCTCAGGTATGTTCTCATGTGGGCTTCTGCTTTGGCCCACTCCAACATGAGGGACCAGCTGCAAAGTTTGTCCCTGGACTGGGAGCTGAATTCCTGCAGAATCCAGGATTTTAGTTTGGACCTTTTTAGATATGATGTAAATGCCAGCAGCTTCCTAACAACTGTTCTTGAAGCTCAGAGCAGAATGTAGAGCAGACCGTTGTAAGTTAGGGGACTGCACAAGATATCCCTTCTCAGAAGAGAAAGGAAAAGCCCAACAAAACCTAAACCATCTGACTAGAGTCCTGAGAAATGCTTTCCAGCTTTCAAAGAAAGAAAGGGTCTTAATTCAGATTTGCCGGAATCGTCTAATTAGTCCCTTTAATGCCATGCACCTTATAGTCTGTGCCACCGGATTCGTCCTATAAATGAGACGATGGGCTAATTCATCTTGGCAGCAGTAAACAGACCTTGTGATTGTCCCCCTCACAAACACCGGCCTGATTTTAGGAAAATGCTTTGACCAAGCCTGTGTCCCTGCTCCCTCCCCCGCCGGCCCCCCCCACGCCCCCGCCTTTTCTGAGCGCTGCCTGTGCTTCTTGCCCTCCTTCTTCCCCACCAACCCAACCCACCCCGTCTCACACACAGTGACATACCTCACACATTTGCCACTGCTAACAACAACCTGTCAACTCTTTCTTTGCACCGTGCTAGGCGCCTTTTGTTTCTGCAGCCCAGCAAGCCTTGCAGCTGTTGTCCGAGGCCTGCTCCGACAGCCTGTGATCAGTCAGCTGCAAAATCCTCCCTGAACAACTCGGTATTCACAGCTCTAATCGGGCCAGCGGACTGTTTCCTCCTCTCTCGCAGTAAATCTTTATCACTTGCGCTCTGCTCGTCAGTTCGTGGCGCCAGCTCTTTGGGCTGCTCTATCCCTTTCCCATACTCTGCTGGGCTGTGTGCTCTGAATGCTAACTCCAGCCTTGTTTAGACTCTGTGCTGCCTCAGTGCTGCAGTCCACATGTTGGGAAGGTCGGAATTCCTGCCGCCTCCCTGTCTTTCGGGCTGTGAATGCGCGTGGGGTTCGTATCTCTGCGAAGGTGAAGATATCAAAGGCTCCCTCCCTCCCTCCCTCGGCCCGTTTCATACTTTGTCCATATAAGTTCGTTCTGTGATTGTCTTTCTGTTTCCTCCCAGCAGCCCGTCGTGCTTCTGCTTAAGAGCTGTCTTTGGTAAGAAGGTGAGGGTGAGCTGCCCAGCCTGGGGAAGCTGGTGATGGCAAGGGAAAGCCTGGGGAAACTGGCACAAGCCTTAATTTGATCACATGCCCAGGGCTATTAACCCTCCTCCTAATGATCCCCAAGTGGATGGAAACACATTTCCCTCCATCCTGTCCCTGACTTGATGCCATCACAGTCTTTTAAAGGGTTTACATCAAAGATGTTGAATTGTGAAGCAGATTTTTAGGAAAAAAAAGGATTGAAGTTTTCTTCCTTAGTATCCCGGATGAGTTGGGGAGAGTCCGTGGAGAGTTTAGGGTGAGGTTTCTGTCAGTGTGGAGTTGCTGAGGATTTACGCTGGTGGAGCTGAAGGCACAACTTTATCTGTGCCTGTTGCTGCCTATGATACAGCGTGGAAACCCCTCCTGCCTCCTCTGTGTTTGGGCCTGGGATTGTAGATGGCAGCGTAATTAAAGTGCAGTTAAACAGCACATTTTGCAAGGAGACTCAACTAGATCTTAAGCAAAGCTTGCTGGAGATCACTTTAAAGGGACAAATTATTCAAGACAGCGAAGGTTATTTCAGTTTATAAGGAACCTGGGAAACTTTTGTCTGAACACTGGCATGAAGACCAAAAAGTAGTGGGTTTTGGTCTTGTCTCTGAAACTGAAAAACCCATTTCTCTTTCTGCATCAGCTTTCCTTCCTCACCTTTAAGTCTTGGTTTCAGCTGTTCCGTGTGTGTGTGTGTGCATGTGTATGCAGGGGTGAAGATTAACCAAAGACAGAAATTCCTTGAGGAGTACAGTATGAACTGGCTTTAAAAATACATTGATTCTGTTAGTTTTTAAGAGGCATCTGTCAAATAGATGCAGGTTGGACAATCAGGCTTCATTTCCGCTCAGGCTTTCTATGCCTCAGTTTCTCATCAGTATATATTTGGTCAGATAAGCGTGTGTATATGGGATTCTTACAATTTTGGCGTTGCATTGGTGTTTGAGTCTGTAAGGAGATGCCCTCCTGCCATGCTCCTTGGTGTGCCCTTGATAACCAGCTCCCACTTACTTCCAGGTGGGATGTGTTTTGTCCTTGTGTAAACAGAGCTATAAAATGTATTTTAGGCTTGATTTGGGAAAACAGCTCAGATTTTGCTGGTATTTGCCACAGAAGGGCCTTTCTGTCCCAGTGTGTTCTTCGGTGAACATGTGTGAACAGGATTTGAATGCTGGCTCTTTTTCTGTCCATAAAGGCAGGAGTGAAAATATGATCTTCAGTAGCATGAAGTGTCCCACAAATAGGCTGATTTTACCAGTTCATGGAATAGAATCCTAAAGTAGTTTGGGTTGGAAGGGACTTTTTTTTTTTTTTTCTGTCAAATAGCAAGCTACTGGACATGGTTATTTTGTGACAGGGTCGACTTCTGTTTTATAAAACACTGGTGCTTCACCATGCTCTGGAAGAATGGCATGGCCAATCCACCTGCTGTCCTCTGCACAAAAAGCAGTTGGTTTTGAAGTGTTCCCGAAGGGCTTGATGTCCTTTAGACATCCTTGCAGTTCCTAATTTTTATTTATTTATTTATTTATTTATTTATTTATTTTTAGAAAACTCATGGTGGCTAGACTATACATGTAACCTGATATAGTGGAAGGAAATCTTTTAGCTTTAAAATTACAAAGGAAAAGTCTAAGAATCTGAACTGAAAGTGAAAGGAACAAGGAGAAGACTTTCTCAAAATAACAACAACAGCAATACTTATTAGTGTTATTAGTGTTATTTAAACTGTCCACGTGCCCTGGTTCTCCTGATCTGCTGATGTTTGTGCCTTGAAGTGAGGGGGTTTTTGAAGGATGCAGCTGGTGCTTACCTTGGTATGGTTCTAATTCTGTGGTGCTTGGTGATGGGGGCTTAGGACGGTTAATTAGGAAAATGTCTGGAAGTTATGACATGAAGTTTTTATCTGTTCTTTTCCTCAGGGCTTTGTGCCACAGAGGAAAACTCACGGGAGGCAAATATTCCCAGTGGGAATGTATTGTTCTTTGAAGAATCCTGTCTGAGTTATTTTGTCTTACAGGGGTAAGTTCAGTCTTTCTTCATTTTCACCCAGGCCACAATGAAGACTTTGTACTTTTTTCTGTTTAGTGGGTGCTGGAAGAGGGCTCGTTCGTGGCTCTGGGATGAAGAGGATGAGCAGAATTTGAGAACGGCTTGTCTGTTCCCATTCCAAATTGAAAGTGGACTTGACTTACTTTTCCTAATGCATCTGGATGCAAGTGTTGGAGCAGGATATTTTATTGCTCTGCTTTTTTTTATTTTTAAGGAACAATGTCAACTTTTTTCCTAGCTCCTTCTATATCTGTCTTCTAAGATAATCTCAGACCCCAACATCTCTCTATGTGATTTTTTTTTTTACAGAGTTATGGATAATATGATAATATGCTTACGCAGTAATTCCATTTTAAAATAGTCTTCTAGTCTAGGAATTTTCTTGTCTGATTTGCCTCAGACTTTCCAGAAAAATTCTACCTTGGCTTGAAGTTTGCACCTGGGAAAGTTCAAGGAAATCTGTTTAGCTTTTGCTCTATGAGGAAGGGATTCTGCCAAAATTAAGTTTTTTATGAAAGGCTACTGGAAGTACAGATAGACTAGTTTTGTCATTACTAGGCAATATTAGTGTACAATCAGTCTCATGAAGAAAAAATATGACTAAATGGATTTTATATTCCTTATAAAAATGATTTTTTTGTTTCTTCTTTGGCTGCTCAGGGTAGAATGCTCACTGCTAATCCATTATGTTTAATTTTGTGAGTCACTTCTTGTGTGCACATTTCCTGTACATCTTGAACAAAACCATGCAAAAAGATGAGCAAAGAATTAGGAGAAAATTATAAATGGATCCATGTGACTGCCTTTTCTACAGATATTTCTTTTTCTTCCCTTACTTGAGAAGTTGAGAGGGAATGCAGGGCCATGCAGTGTTTGTTAAAGCTGATGGAATATCTTTCTCCCTCTGGGTATTTCTTTAATCAATGTTTCTTTATACCATTAGGTCATCTCCTCTTTTTTTCATGTTTTTTTTTTCTTTTTTTTCTGAAGAAGCCTTGTTTTGTACATTTCCGTACATCTTGACGTTTATTCTCAGAATTATGGCCTGATCACTTCCTCTCTTTTCCTCAAAATTTCTCTCGTTTTTATCTATTTTAAGTGCCAGAGCACAAAGATAACCCCATCATAGTTCTCTCATTTTCCCCAGCAGTTCCCCCCCGCCTCTCCCCCGGCCTTTCCCTCCCTGCAATGAAAAAAATGAAAGGTCTCATGGTCTTACAGATTTTCTTTATGCTTATTTTGGCCTACTTGCAACCCAAATACATCATCACGCTATAAGACGGCTCTCTAAGGCTCTTGGATCAATTAAAGGTAGCCCTATTCATTGCCAGTACAAACCTTTGCCTATTAACTCCTTCAAAGGGCATTTGTCATCTCAAAAAGCTGTGAATGCCGTCTGGGTACATTGATTAAAAACAGGTATTGTTTTAAGGCTGCTGAATATCTTAATTAGTTGTAATCAGAGGGTAGCTTGTGTCTGTGAAGTGATACAGTTACCTTTCACCCACTAGCTTTATTTTCTGTGGTTTTAAAAGGGAGAAAATAAAAATAAATCTCAAATGTACCTCAAGAATACTGTTTTTAGGGTACGAGAGGAGCGCACTTGCTGATCAAACTGTAATTTATGACATTATTTTGCAAAGGCAAATATTGAATGTGGTAACCCAGAATGCATCTCGTTGGCCTACGACCAGCCAAGAGCGGGTAAGTGGAGCTGCTCGCTGCCAGCAGTCATCCTCCTTTTCTTCCCTCAGAAATCCAGGGTCTGTGTCCTGGAAATGGAGAAATCTACCCCAGTTCTTCAAGTGCTTGCACGTGTGCTGAGCTTGAGCCCGTGAATCATCCATTAATGCAGGGCATGCACAGCCCTGTTTGGCGCATCAAGGTAGAACAAGGTAACATTTTTTCAGATCAGTGGTTCATTTTTGCCATAATTGTCTCAAATGAATGCGTCCTAAAGCTCTGGCAAGTAGTTTTAGCTGGCAAAATGTCTTGCTCTGCTGTTCACTGAATCAAAGCATTTCTTTCAGTAGTTAATCGTAAAAATTCATTTTTTATCTAAGGAGAGACCCTTTTGAAAATGAAAATCAATACTTTTTTCTTCCTTGGACCTCGTGAAAAGTTTTGTTGGTGCATATTACTTTCTTGGTTTATTTTTCTGAGAAAGCAACACAGTTTATATTTCATTTAAATGCATTTTGCTAAAATAAAATGGTTTTTTTCTGTACATCTAATGGAGGCATCAGGGTATAGGCAGAACCCTTCCAGTCATGTCTTGATGGTACAGCAATGGCTTTCATCCTTTGCCCCCTGCTCTCTGGAGATGCATTTCCAGAGGAGATGATTTGGGGATATATGTGCTTTTCTTTCTATATTTGTGCAAATATCTTCTTACAGGTCAGAAAAAAACACTTGACCAAAAAAAATCTGAGTCACACTTGGTAAAATGTGTGCTTTTGTGCTTGATTAAGATGCTTATAGTAATAATGGTAAATAGAATTGTTTCATTGTGGGAAAGGAAGGGGACACAAATGGTGTTTTACAGGGAGTCCCCCTTTACCTGGGACAAAAATTCTTTAGAAAACACCTAACTCACTAACCACGTGTATCAAACTGCTGGTGCAGTTTGGTCACCTGGAAAGCAGGGCAGTGCCATGGCTGGGAACCGGCAGACAAACAAATCCCCAACACTCACACTCAACCTGTGGCTTACTTGGTGAATTTTATTACAGGAAATCCAGGCACAGATTCTCAAGGTAACGTGGCAAAGTCATGTAAATGCAAGTGGTGCTGTGCTCAGCCTCTTATTTTCCAGTGGATAAGTGTGCTGGACAATGGATGGCTGGAAGTTAGAATATGTTTATGATTTACCTATTTTTTTTTTTTCAGAAGCCACGCTCTTGTATCACTGGACAGTTTCACTCTACATGTCTAGATTCAGCAAGAAGTACTTCATCTCTCTTTTTTTTTAAATTTTATTTTTACTGAAACGCTTCAGAAAATCTAGTTCTGTCTTCAAATCACTGTATAGACAAGAAGCTATCAGAATCTCTGTTTCACAGGTGAGGAAAACCAGTCCGATCAAGATTAAAATCCCAATTCGAGGAAAAGCAGAAACTTAAGCACATCTTTTAATTTTCCTGTGATTTTGGCATAAACTATTATGAATAGTTTCTCTGGGATGCTGTCAGAGGTGAAAATAGAATATGCTTTGAGTTGCAGACAGTACCTCAGCCACAGCACTGCGGTGTGTGGACACAGGAATTTTTCTCTTTATACTTGCTAAAAAATGTGACGCATGGGATGGTCACACAGGAGAGAGATTTATTTCTGTAGTTGGTTTTTCAATTCAGTGGTTCATATACTGTGGTATTGAAGCTCATTTTGGTGTGGAGATCCATGCAGCTCTGAACTTTTCCTTCAGCTTTGTAGGTTTTCACGGAAGTGTGTGGTATCTTTTCTTTGGTCAGGTGCCTTGAAAATAAACTGGGAGAAATAAATAGGCACGTTTCTACTGTGGCTGTGATAAGCATATGTATGTATATATATAATGGTATTGTGTGTCTTGCTCTACATAACATTTTTAGGTATCTGTGCAAGTAGATTTATGAAGTGTGACTCGTTTTTCCTTCTCCCCACTGTTCCAGTGGAAGAGCTCAGACTGCGATGAGAAAAACTAGTACACGTTATTAAGAATTCTGATAAAGTAGGCTGAATAAATTTGTTTTCTTTGTGAGCCTTAATCCTGTGTTGTATTGGCTTCTTGGACATGGCTAATTTATTTGGAATTCCATTCTGTTCCCGACAGCATTCCTGATTAGCAGTTTGATCACCCGGAGCAAAGTTACATACCAGCTTTCAACTCTTGTAATCTAGCAGTGTAATTTTTTCAAATGGACTCTTTTCTTTCCTTCTTTGCCCCAGCTCCCCTTCTTTTTGTGCGCAAAGAGACTTTAAAAGTAAGCAGGATAACCTGCTAGTAGAATGAAAAACTTCTTCAAAACACAATGTAGTTTGCTGAATGCCCGGCTTTCATTTTTAAATAGAAAAATGAGGTTTGGAGCTGTGTCAGTGCAGCGTGTGAAATGTTTACCTTCCATCACGCACAGAGGATGACGGTTCTTTTCAATAACTGCATTTTAGGGGTGGTGTGATATAATCTTCAAGTTCTTTCCAAGGTCTGTATTTCGCCAAAGCACATTTTGCTTGTGATAAATTTAAGAGAGTTTAAATCGTTGTTTAGCAAAGCTTTTCACATCATGGGCCTTGTAGGAAAATGGCAGTTGTGTCATTGTTTGCTTCCCTCTAAACTGGCTTATGCTGTCAAAACAAAGGATGCGCAGGAAACCCAAATTTAATTGTAAACCAGAGGCAGGTTTTGATCTGTTTTTGGTAGAGCACAGGAGGAGCATCATCCAAGTGAAACCAGAGGAAATGGGGCCTGCAGCAGCCCCCTCAAATCTGCCAAAGATGTGGAGTTACAGACAAGAGGGAAGGGAGTTTTCCGTCCTGTGACATTTCTGGAGGTCCCAATCTGGTTTGTGCACAGTGAGAAGGAAAAAAAAAGATTTTTAAGTCAAGGGAGACGTGGGAATAGCCCAGAGATAGGTGACCACAGCACTTGTCAAAAGACTCAAACTGTGGTTTTATGCATGAGTGCCTTGGCTGTATAATGTTTGGAGAGTGTCTGTTTTGTACTGATCTTGAATTTAATGGATCTGAAAAGCAGCTCTTGACAAATATTTTGTCAAAACTGAAGCACGTTTGGCCAGACTTCTGTGTTTGAAAAACTGATGTTTCAGTTGAAACACCGTTTTGTCCAAAATAATACTAATCAAATTCTCTCCTGAATTTATGTGAACTACTCGGCTATTCTGAACTTTATAACATAAATCCTAAATATTTGTTCTAGGCTTTTTCCTTTGAGTCGCTAAATATGTTTGTATTTTTATGTTTGTTCACAATTAGGTGGACATTTTGGATATTATGAAACTTTTATTTCATTGATATGACTAAGTATCAATGGCATATGTGTGATCTATTCTGCTACTACCAGGTCATGTTCTAATCACATTCCTAGGAAGAAATTCCTGTAAGTGAAAGGGAACCAAAATATCTACTGCTAAGTATGGCCACATCCAGCAGCATATGGAGGTGATCATGGAATGGCAGCTCCATAACTGCAGAGGTCTCATCAAGTCTGTATTTTGAAATACGGATATCTTCAGGTAATGACTTTTAAGACTGATTTATAAGTTTTTGCTTCATTTTCTCCTAACCCTTTCCCCTCACTTTCATTATGTTGTTGTTTTTTTTTTTTCCCTGCAATCTGTGCCCTTTCTTTTGCAATTGAATTTTGGTTTTGACTGCGAGGCCTTTGAGGATGAGCTGGAGTTTTACAAATACTTCTGGTTTTATGGACACTGAAATTAGTCTTGAGGGAAGAAATATGTAATAAATGTGGTAACTTATTTCTGTCCTTGTTTTTCTTGGTCGTGGAAACGGGCATGTTGAACCGACTGTGGTGGGATTCTGCTGGGGATTTTCCAGTAGAAAAGCAGTGGGGCAGGTGTTGACTTTGCTTTGGCTCCATGCAACATGGAACGATCTTGATATGTGCGTGTTATCACAACTTATTTGAAGCAGGAGTTGGCTTTGAATGTCAGGTTTTGTCCTCTAAAGCTGTGAAGACCTTGATCTGGCTCTTTTGAACTGGCATTTTGTTTCCAGTGTGATGTGGAATGCTTGTTCAGGAGATTTCACATATGCAAACTGGAGCAAGGTGCCTTTTTGACTCTGATAACTCTAGAAGGCACATGATTCTGAGGGATAAGTGCTGGTCTTGAATTTTTCTTTTTCTCTTAACAAAGAACTGGGAACTTCTTGTTAGCCATGCCAACTACTGCAACTATTTGCTGTTTTCATTTGTAACATATCCTGAGTTTTGAATGCGTGGCAAAATGCAGTAAGTAAAATATTCTATTTTTTAATTTTAATTTATTAATGTTTTGGGATATATTTCAAACTGATGGCAACAGGGGGTGTTTTGTGATTGATTATTGTTGTATTCTCTGCTTTGTCACGTGTAGCTACACTTGATATTTTGAAATTTTAGGAATGTAGCGATATTTTAGGAGATAGACTGCTTTGTAGGGGAACTGGAAAATTAGATGTGAAACCTGTTGCCTTACATTTTAAAGTCAACAAAACTGCATAATACATAATTATTTTTGCCAAACTACCCTTCAATGGGCACTGATTACCAGGATAATTAATTATGTACTAATTTTAAAAAAAATACGGAATTTTAAAAATAGTTCCAAATTAGAGGATTTTTTAATAAATAGTTGTAACAGAACAGGGTAATAATGTCGGTTATGTGATGAAAACATATGTTAGTAATAAAATATCATCCATCAGGAATACTGTTCTATCATGCCATTGCTCTCTAGGGAGATGACTAGTTGAGAAGTGATTTTAACAAAATAAACTCTGAACAGAGAGGATGCTTTTATTGGTGATACGACACACGTTCTTCCAAAAGGCAAATCATTAAAAAAACGGTGCCAGGAACATCTGTTGTGTGAAAAAGTAAAACTTTGGAAAATCCAAATAGTGATTATCGATATATAGGCTTTGCATAGTGCTTTTCCTCGCTCGTTCCCAAAAGGCTTTACAAAGAAAGGAAGAACGACCATCCATGTTAAACTGCCTTTTCCCAAACCCGGCCGCGCCAGTTTTCATCTGGCATGTAGATTCGTCCTGCTTGTGCTGTGCCACGGATTTTCTGTGGGAGGAAATCTGCCCTAAGAAGCGAAATCCAAGCAGGAAAGCGCTGTCCTTCCATGCCCAGCAGCATTCCTCCGTGTGAACAGACGCAGCCCCGCCAGGGAGTGCCAAGCCGACAGCCGTGGCATGCGGAGCTGCCATTCCCCGGCTTTGTGTGAGCCTGTCCCCAGCCTGTCCCGGTGCCAGGCGCCAGGGATGTGCTCTTTCTGTTCCGCCTTTGACACCTCTCAGGCAACACAGGGCTGAGAAGCACTTGTGAGCCCCGGGGAGGAGGCACCTGTTCACTTGGCACCGGGATGAACCCCCCAGTTCATTCCTCACGTGCCCTTAAGTAGCCGCCGGGCTTGTGTCTGCGGATGGATTGGGCTGGAGCTGGTGGCCAGGGCATGGGATGTGCTGGATTACGTGACAGCCCCACTAGCTCACGTGGGAATTGGTTAAAATCCTGCTGGTGGTTTCCAGCAATCCAGCAGGATTGCACCGGGGGGAAGGAAGATGGTTGTCACCAAAGATGAACTTTCAGGTGCATCCAGTGACATCCATCCAGGTGGACAGATATTTTTTGTGGATAAAGGCAGATGTCATTGCCTCAACCAGTACATTTACTATTTTATGTTATTAGCTAATTATGTATTACTATTATAATTATTGTGTTACTGGCTGATGTTATTAGCTGTTATTTTACAGCTGCAAAGTGAGCCAGCTGCCCAAGTGTGTATGTAATGTAGAGCCCCTGGCTGGAGCTGACAGTGGTTGTGTTGTAGCAGGTAGTCACTGAACAGTTTGTCAAACTGTTTTTCCTGCTGAAATCCTCTTCAGGTGAGATGATGATTTCCTTCTTCTCCTCTGTGTGGATGTCGGTCTCATAAAAAAGAAACAGGTTAGAGAACCAGCTGTCAGGAATGGCGTAGTTGATCTTGCTTTAGGGCAAGCTGACAGACCTCTTGGGTCCATTTCATCCTTTTTCCTGTGACTGTAGGTGGCCCCAGTAACATATATATGTGTATATATGTTTGTTCTCTCCAGCCTGCTGCATTTTTTCAGCAAACATCTTTGCTAGTTGAAAGGAGCAGTCCCTTTAAACTCAGCGTCTTTTGAGATCCGTAGGTATAAAAAAGACGCTCATTGTTCAGTGTACATCCACAAAGATTCCTTCTTAATCCTGACTGTGTGTACCCATCCCTTGGTTGAGCCTTCCTGTGCAGAGGAATTTGAGTGGATTCACATTCCTTCATAAATGCATGTAGGGTAATGCATCAGACTTTCTTTCCCTCTAAGCATTCTGATCAGTTCTGACACTTTCCAACTCCATTAAAAAATCCATGTGGCAGGTGAGAGAACCCATTAGTGCAAAGAAACTCCTGAAACCCCTCAGAGTATTTGCTTTGCTGTGCCTTTTAACTGTTTACAAAGCCCAGGGCTTTGCTTCTGATACACAGTCAATAAAAGGGAACAGGCTATTTTTATTTTTAATTGCAACGTAAATGTATGTGTTAGCCTTGTAGAAGGCAATGTGTTGACTCTCATGAGGTTACCCCAATCAAGGACAAATTTGACCAGAAAATGGCACTTTGAGAGAATATTGGCAGTCAGTATTTTGGTATGACATTTGGTTTAATGCAGAATTTTTGAAAATCAGGGAAGCAGCCAGGCTATTGCTTGGACCACATCCAAGTCCTTTCACTTACTGCTGATCCTTCCCTTTTCTGCCTTCACAGCTCTACTTGTCCAGGCCCAGGCAAGGAATTGCTTAAACATCTATAAAAGTTCCTTGTTTTCTTCTTGAACTGGATCCTGGAGTTGTACTAGTTCTGACGAGGCCTTGGCATCTACAAGGACCTCAAGGTATTACTGTACCTATTCCCTGATTTTAAAGGAAAAAGAACGTAGAACTCCCAGAGCTTTACATTTCTGAATCAGTCTCTCATTTCTTTTTTAGGCGGAAAGTGCGGTTTCTGGGGAAAGGAGCTTGCTGGTGGAGTAAGTTTGAAAAGATCGTAGCAGTTCCAGTAATTACTCATTTCATCAACCTATCTATATTTAAAGTGAGCTAAACCGAGTTCTTTCCTACAATGTCTCCTTCAAATAATGCTGCTTTACATTTGGAGAGCCAAATAAGGAAATAGAGCATAATCCTACAGGAGTTTCTTTCCCCTTTAGTTCCTACAGCTCAGGGACTTGCTGTAACGAGAGCACTTCTTTCTATGAAAACCTTTTTAACATATTCAACTAAACAAACTATCTCCCAGAGAAAGTAGGAGCGTTTTTTTTGTGTGTGTGCTTTGCTCTGGCCTTGGCTCTCGAGGACATTTCTGTCGATGCACTAAATGAGCGATGCACTTTGGACAGCTTCTGTGTTCTGATTTGTTTTCTTGTGCTTCTTTTTTTTTTTTTTTCTTTTTTTCTTTTTTCCCTCCCCCTCCTCTCCCTCCCTTCTTCCCCTTTTCATTTGTCTAGGGGGAAAATAAAAAAAAAAACCCACGCTCCTCCAGTGTTGTTTCCTGCAAAGACCATTCTTAAGAGCTCGTTGGACAGCGCAGGACTCTTGAAGTGATAGCTAATTGGTGAAAGAAAGGCCCTGATTGTCTTGAGGGAGCTGGAAAGTGCTGCGTGTGCTGCTGAAAGGGACTAGGGAGAAGGTGCCTGGTTTCGCTGAGCAGCTGCTGCTGGAGATGTTTGGAGATTACATCAGCATTGGAAAAAAGGGGCAAAAAAAAAAAAGAAAAGTCCAACTTCACAGAGACGGAGTTTATGGAGGTTCCCCCCCCCCCCTTCCAAAGGTCTTCTGACAATACTGTCATTGTCAATATAAGAGTTGTTAATTCTTTATGAATAGCACATGGGGCCTCTTGACTAAATAGTACGTTACATGTCCCAAATCTGTCAGCTGGACTCTTCTCTCACATGCTAGTGAGATCACTTTGATTGGAATGTTAGAGGAATTGCTGGGCTGGCCGTGCAGAACTGAATACTGCATTATATAATTAGATCTCCCAGAGTATTTTTTTTCACATTACCTCATTATTCTAGCTTAAATATGGAATCGGCCCTTTTGATGATTTTGCTGGTTATAATTATATTAATACGATTCATTTTGTGGTCCTGCCTTAGTGCTTATATAGATTATAAGCTGTCCCGAAGGTTTCCTGACACAAGGAAAGAGGACTGAGAGACTTCAAAAGGCTTCTTCAGATTTGAATTGACAATGGGGAGAACTGGATAAGGTAAATGGAGCTAGAGCAGCTCTTACCTTGGGATCTGATGAGAGAGAAATGACGTGTCGAGACTGCAACCGAGTGAAGATCCTTCAGAAAGCCACGTGCTGACAGAGGGGAAGGAGTGACAACTGACTGAGTCAAATGACTTCCTCTCCAGCTTGGGCATGGATTTATTGTTGGGAACAGACTTGTGGACTTTTGCCAATTAAATGATTTGAACAAGCTGGGGGGAATCCTATTGCTGGGCAGTCCAAGAGTGCCAGTGGCCCAGCCTTGATACGTGAGATGTGGTGTGTGGTGCCTGCTGGACAAACTGATGCTCTGCACATTCAGGTGTCAGCTGGCAGGAGTGAGTTCTGACACCAAAGCCCTGCAAGGTACCTTCATTTCCAGCCTTAAATAAAGACCTTACTAGAGCATGGAAGGATTTGACTACGTGTCCAAGGCCATAGTGACTTAGGATTTTTTGGTTAACTTACCTTGCAAAAGGAGGTAAACTGTTCCAAGTGAACTGTCTCCTTTTAGATGGCAGTTATACTAAGCCAAACATCCTATATCTTACCACATACCCAACTCAATTTGACATCTGCTTTTAAGAACTGAATTTTCTACTGTAAAAATAGAAAGACTGTATTGCTTTGCCTGAGGCCCAGTCACCTTTCTTTTAAAAAAAAATAAAAATAAAAAGTTTTTTTTAGTTGATAAATTTCTATGTCATGTAAAAGTGAAGGTTGCCACTTTGTGTACTTAATTCTGTATCTCTTGGTAGCTCACATGGTGATGTCAGAGTTCAGCTACAGTATTCCCATCCAAATTTTCTGGCCCATTCACGTCTCTCACCTTCCTACAGTCTCGTCATTAATAACTGTTAATCAGCCCTTATCATTTTGTGTTCTGAAGCCTCCTAAAACTCAGATGGGAGAGCTGGGCTGTGCTTATGCAGCAGAACAGGGTAAATGTCAGGTCTATTGATTTCAGCCTCAGATTTTATTTATGGTGGATGGCCAATGTACTAAACAGCCTGCAATGCCTGAAATGCATGTCATTGACTTGAAATCCAGCCAGATGACAATAAATTAAATGTAGATGGAACTAGCCCCTTGTCTGTGTCTGTGGTTCTTAATTTTAATGATGATTCTGTCCGGTTTTTTTTATTTCCCAACAGCAAACCAGACCATGGTGGGAAAGTGAAATGTTGTCTATTTGAAGATATACCTTTGATAATGAGTGACTGGGAGAATAGGCACAGTGATCCATTTTATTTCTTTCAGTTAACCATCCCTATTCTTTGCTGTTTTGTGCAAAATCAAGCTTGTAGATAAATTGATAGTGCCTTTAAGAAACAAGTCTTCTAATTCTTTATTGCAGAATTACTTAAGCAATTATTTAATTAAAGAATAAAAACAATTTACTGAAGACTTCATTGAGATCTTGTTACCTACTCAGCCCCTTATGCATTTAAAGCAGTTTTATTACCACCTTTTTTGATTTCTGTGGATTCATATAGTTTTTATCCAGTTCTGCAGGACATGGGAAGCCATCCTGTTTATCCTGCATCACAAAATCTGGGCTATCACACTTGCAAGAGTGCAAAATATGAAGGAAATGGAGATCTTCCTCTTTATTCCCATGGGCATTTGCTCTTCCTCATATCACAGAGATAATAAAAATCTGGGCCCTTTTAAGTGTGGTGTGATTTGAAAGTGTCTGTTAGTATTTCCTGGTGCAATTTAACCATATTCATTTTCCTTAAGGAAAATGTAATATAAATATAATATTTTCAATTGCTATTTTTTTTTCAGACACAAAAGATTGTGCCTGTGCTTACAAATCCCTTTCTGTTTCCTGAAAGGGGTGCAGGGGAAGAAGAAACTTTGGATAATAACTGCTTCATGTCAACCAGTTGTGGTTTATTTAAGATCCAACTTGAAGCCCATACCTTGATGGAATTTGAATGGGCTTGACTGGAAATCACTTTAGAGTCTTTTAAAATTCATTCCATTTCATTTAGTATTTTAAAGATACTTATGCCCTGCTGATTTTTTTTGTGTGTTTAAGGATGTGTTTAAAAATAAGCATGTGTTTAATGTCAGTTTTGACAGTGTTAATGAAGATTGCAGTGTGGAGCCCCCTTTCAAAACATGGCACAAAGGTAAGTGTGAAGAAAGAGGAAAATAGTAGTGAAATTAAAATTCTTCCTAATGTAAAATAATTACATTTTACATTAAATATAAATATATTCTGCATATAAATATATTCTGTATATATTATGTCTATATTGTATATTATGTTATGTATTTATTAATTATATCACTAACATGCTAAACAGTGGCCAAAATTACCATGTTATCTATAGGGAAGGAACTCCACTCTTTGCTTTAAGTCATTATCAAGAAGAACCTCTAAAACAGGGTTAGATTCTGTTCTGATTTATTTTGGAAAATCAAAGTTTTGGGACTCCACCAACAGACAACTCTACAGATTTTTGCCTCCCCCTGTGTTTGATAGTGCAGTACCTGTGTAACCAACCAGCAACACTGACCTGTTGAGGCACTGCTAAAAGCAGGTGTAATTATAGCAGTTCATAAACCACTTGTAGTGCAGTTAAACTCTCTCATATTCCATTTCCTTTGTGTGAAATTATTTCTTGATGTATTTTTTTGCTTATCTAGTAGTCGGTCCATCTCTCTCTCTTTATATATATATATATAAAATACATTATATTTTTACATATAAACCAAATATAAAACTGGATGATGTATGGATGCAGAACTGTTACTGGGATATTGTAACTGTAGGGTTGTTATGTTTATAGGATGATGCTTAGGTTTGGGTTTAGCCTGTGATTTGAACAAAAGTATAAAGTAACTAGTATAAAGTTCTCATTTTGTGAGTACTTTAGGAAGGTTATCCCAACTTTCATATCTGAATTTCCTCCTCCATAAGACCAGTGTTACGACAAAAATCTGCCTTAGAGGCGATGTCAGGGTCAATTTATACATGTTGTGGGGAGTTTATGAACTTTGGCTTTGCACACTTGACAGTTCAGATAAATGTGTAGGCATGTGCATACATGTATATTTTCATTTAAGGATGTTAATATTTGAATATCTTGTGTTTACAGCCCTCCCCACTCCAAGCTGCTCAATCTTGTGTAGCTCTGGAAGAAAAAAACCACAGATTTAGCTGCTTAGGTAGCTGACGTCACAGAACGCTGCCTGTGTTGGAATGTGTTGATTTAGGGTGACTGTTTTCATGGTACCAATAAAAACTTGGTCCCAAAATAAACAGCCATTTTCAAGTTCCACAACTGATAATTTTTTTTATTTCTTTTTTTTTTTTTTTTAACACGGGCTCAAAATCTTGCTGAGCTGTAAAACCTCAACTGATTGTAAATATCCCGTTATCTGCGAGTGCAATTTCTGTCCCACGTCGTGTAAGGTGCATAAAAGTTGACATTGTGGACTGCATCGTGGTATGGAGAACTAATTACAGATAAACTCGTGGTCATCTGAGCATGTAATTATATTTATTGATTAAAATAATTCCACAATTTTATTTTGCAGTGCCATTACACTGGTATCCGTTTAAACAATTACTGTCAAACCGCGTAAACCCAACTGCAGAAGGACTCCCTTCAATGGATCTGGCGATGCAACAGGTGGCCTAATTACTTTAGGTAGGTCCATTACAGCCAAATTCGGAGTGGAGAAGCTGAAGACACAAGTAGGGCTACAATTCTGTTGGCTCTTGCAGGAGGAATCTGAACAGCTGAGGGGCCCAGTCACCAGCTGCTTACACGGAACTGCCACAGCATCAGCTGAGGCTCGGGGGGAATCGTGGAACCAGCACTGCTCCCCAGGCCCATGGTCCATGGAACAGCCCTGGGGAATGGAAGAGTACTGTTGGGGTGTCTCTGTCTGGATTTGTGTAGGCATCAGATTGGTGGACACTTAAATGGCAAAAGTCTTGTCTTGGTCAGAGTCGCTCCATAAATGCAGTTGGGTGATGCTTGATTGTCACCAAAGTGGGTGACCTTAGAGGGTGACACTTTAGCTCTCACTGCAGGCAGGGCTTGTAACATCAACTTCCAGTCCTAAAGGCCTATTTTCAGCTGTTCACAACTTTGTCAAAGTAGCTTTTCAAACTAGATTTTTTTCCATGTTGCATTTGGTGTCTGCCTGCAGCTGAGTTCCCTTCAGAAGGTTTCAACCAGAACAGTTTAATGTCTTCCAAGAACAAGATTAGAGAAAAATATTGTTTTACCCATGCTACAAAAATATTGGCAATGTTTGTTTTGTTTTAATATGTAGTTCTCCTACTCTGGGAGATAATTTTTGCTCGGCCCCACCAGGGATATGCAACTCTTGTTTCACATGAAGAAAATGATGTAGGTACCTACCACAGATTTGAGGGGTACAAGATCAGATCTGATGTGGGCTGGAAGTAAAACCTGCATGGAAGGGAGTGAGTAGTTGACTGAATAGTGAATGAGGGAGGAGACAGACCAGATAGAATTAGGATAGTTTGGACTAGCAGACAGGGCAAAACTGGAGTCTGAAATACATGACCTAAACAATTCTATGGTAAGACTGAAATCAGGAGGCTAAGACTTATTTAGTGAAGCGATTTGACTTGGAATAAGGAAGTCCATGGAACTGTCAAAGGGATAAGAGTTGAATAAAAAGTTTGCTGGATCATTTTCCCTTTAAAATATTAATATAAATCCTGGAACTTAAGTGTTATCCTTTTTTTGGCTGTCAACAGATTTCTGTGAAATTCACTGTCAAAAACTCCTCTGTCCCATCTACCTCTCAACCTCCAGCAGAAAATGCTCTGGATCTGTGAACTCCATATTTTTTAATATGATGCAACAAATTGGAGCACTGACATTAAGGCAATAATAGAATTAAGGCTTTATATGCGGTTTTTGCTCTGCTCCCTGAGTATTATGACAGGTTCTTTTGCTCATTTGTTGCACAGGATGAAATTCTCTGGGAAGGAAGCTTGCAGGAATAATGCTTTGAATATTCAGAAGTGGGGAGATGGAGTATGAAAGGCAGAGCTCTAGGAAGACTAAAGTTTTGAGTGCAGGATAACGTCTGCAAAACACATACACTTTAAAGGACATTCAGGAGGAAATTAATTATTCTTGCATGGGGGACTAAGTGCTGATAATGAAGAAAACATGAGAACTAATTAAGCAAGCACCATCCATCCCGTCCCGGTGAATGTGTCAGGAATATCTTGAAAAAATAATATACTTGGCAAATGAGTATAACAAAATGGAGGGAAATTAACTTTTCCTCCTCGTGTGTTGTAGAAGAAAACAATTGTTACTTCTCTCTAAGGTGCTAGTGAGTGGCCAGATATGTGTAGTACCACTTAGTTTCTAAACTCTGTTCACAGTTGACTGTTTCATAGGTGCAGAGCTTCCAGCACTGAGATGTGAGTGCTCTGGGTGTATGCAGAAATTTTAAAAAAATAACGTAGAATGGAGACATCCATAGCATTTTAGGTGTATGTGGGAGATGTTTAATTTTCCATGTTGGCCTTGGATCCCTAGACTGCATATCAGTGGTACATGCCTAAATCCGTTTTTTGGAAAGGCCCAGGTGAGTTTGAAACCTGGGTCCTGTATTTAATGAATGCTTGAACTTGGGACTTTCCTATGTGAGCTGAGACCCTTCTTCTGGCTGCCTCCCCTTTTAGAATTGGCAGCCTTAAAACTCTCAATCAGAATTTCTAACTAATAGTTATGAGGTGGATAGCCTCTCTTTTGTTCTTTCGAGAATAATTTTTTTTTCTTTGCCGCCAGGTTATAAAAAACACCCCGAATAGTTAGTGCTCTATTCTGGGAATTATTACCAAATCACAAAATCTAGAAATAGTTATTTCTCCTCCCCAGTCATTGTATGAAGACGAATTCATGGAAGGAGGATTCATCAAGGGCTATTCAGTGCAGGAAATCCTTGTGCTACAGAGTGTCGAAAGCTGAAGAGGGTATTAGAGAAACATCACTAAATGCTCGTCCTATTCTTAGTTTCTTTGTAGACGTCCACTGTCGTTGTGATGGGGAAGGGGGCAGAATCAGC